CATTTTGTTGAATAAACACATTTGCATGTAACTGAAATATAACTGTGGCAAATATAACAGTACCAGCTACAGTACTGTTCAAAAGTTTGGCGTCTGTAAGAATTGTTAAATATTTTTTGAAGAAACCTTATGCTCACCAAGGCTGCATTTATTTGATAAAAATACAGTCAAAAGAGCAATATTGTGAAATATTATTACAATATAAAAAACGGTTTTCTAATTTAAAATATATTAACATTTAATTTATTCCTGTAATGGCAAAGCTCAATTTTCAGCAGACATTACTTCAGTCTTGAGGATCATACAGAATTTGATGCTGAAGAAACATTTCTTATTATGTTGAATACAGCTGTACAGCTGTTGAGGTTTTTTTTCATGATTTGTTGATGATTAGAAAGTTCAAAATAACAGCATTTATTTGAAATATATTTTTTCTTTTGCAACATTATAAATGTCTTCACTGTCCGTTTTGATAATTGGATGCATGCTGAATAAAAGTATTAATTTCTCTACATTTAAAAAAAAAAAAAAACTGACTGACTGACCCCAAATGTCTGAACGGTAGTGTATTTCAACCTAAGTCAAAAGTCAAGAACTAAAAGAATTTATGACAGCTAATATGAGGTACTGATAAAATAGTTTGCAGCAAACCACCACAAGTTTGTCAGTTGATTCTGCTAATCACAATAAAGCATGAAATGCATGAAACGAGAGATAAATTGTTTAAGCAACCTGTCAATAAAGGGATAGCCAACTCAAATTAAAATTCTGTCATCATTTATTCACCTTCATGAGAAGCCTTATTTTCTTCTGTGGTGCATAAAAGAAGTGTTGTGTTCTTCACAATATCTTATTTTGTGGTCCACAGAAGAAACAAAAGTCATACAGGTTTGGAGCAATTTTAGGGTTAATAAATGATCATTTTCACTTTTGGGAAAACTTTTGCTGATAAAAGTTGACGGACACAAATTTGAGCTATAGGCAAAAATGTCTATTGTAATCGGTTCTTATAAAAGATAACCAAGATTCTTAATGTAGAGGGTTTTGGTGAGGTGTATCACGACCTAAACTTAAACTTATGAAGCCAAACTAAACAGTTAGGCATTGTCACTCAAGCTGAAGGTGCAGATATAGGAGTGTGGCAAAACAAGGAATGCAGAGTTCAAAAAGAGAGAATGATGACAGGTGTAGTGTTTTATCAGTTGCTGTTGGCAGCCATGCTCAGAACTGACTGGAGCTAAAGGATGTGACACCCGCATACCCAACAACACCCCTGCTAATTATAACCGCTGCATTTGAAGAGGCACTGCAGTCAGACTGCCACCTCAACTTTCTGTGTGAATATTAAGTGTTCAGGTAATAGTTCACTCAAAATTAACTCTCTCATGTTGTTCCAAACCTGAATGACTTTATTGCTGCCGTACAACACTAACTGAGTTTAGCAGAATGTTCAAATATTTAAATAAAAAGAAAAAAATCTTGTGGACAGGAGGATTTTCAGTTGATTAGCTGCACTCTGTTCAGAAGACTTGTCATACAGACAAATAAATACTAAAAAGCGTTTTTTGTCTTTTTTGGAGCTTGACAGCCCTGGCTTTAATGGGAACATTCTGCTAAGCTTTCTTATCCTGTGTAAAATGTAAGAAAGAACAGGTTTGATATGGCATAAGGGCTTGTGAAAGATCTAATCGTAACTTCATACATTTGTGTAATAATGTGGAACGCTAAGAAATTCAAATTTTGTGAACATTTTTGTGGGGCTAATAAGATTTATTATTTATTTTTTTAAAGAAATGTATAGTTTTTCATTACAACAAGAATGCATTACATTGATCAAATGTGACAGTAAAGACATTTATAACGTTATAAAAGATTTCTTTTTTAAGCAAATACTGTTCTTTTGAACTATTTATCAATGAACCCTAAAAATCATGTAAAATGAGAATCCTAAAAATCAGTATCACAGTTTCCACAAAAATATTAAGCAGCACAGCTGTTTTCAACATTAGTAATAATAAGAAGTGTTGTTCTTGAAGCATCAAATCAGCATATGTGAATGATTTCTGAAAGATCATGTGACGCTGAAAACTGGAGTAATGGCTGCTGAAAATTCACCTTTCCTATCACAGGAATAAATTACATTATAAAATATATCACAAAACAAAAGTTATTTTAAATTGTAATGCTATTTTACAATATTACTTTTAAATGGTTTAAGTGTTTAGTACAATGAGTGGCAATTAGCCATGAAAAACATTCTTCTAAAATCAAAGCAAACATGCACATTCATAAGCTTTGTGGGCTGACATATAGCTTGGTCAACATCAATATAACAAAGGGTACGATTAGCAGACAGACCTCATTTCTCATGCAATATTGTTCACAGAATTAGCAGGCTTATCTGAACACCAAGTGCCTGGCAAAATAAACAAAAATGATTTTTCATGATAAGGGACCATTCAAAATAATTTAAAGAAAAGAGAACATATAAATGGACTGTTTAAGGTTCCATTATAAAAGAGCACACTTTACTCACTGGTCTGATATGACATACGTCTAATTCTCCCCATAGAAACCAACTGATCCATATCATTAAGGGAACCCTTTTCTTTATTTACAGTCACGTTTGGTGTGGAGAAAATTCACATTCACACTCACCTTGTTCTTTTGCCTTGCAAAAGAAAATTGTATTTTAACAAAGAACATGTGGGACATTGTTGGAGTGAAGACAGCGCCAAGTGATGAGTTGCTAGCAGCAAGTCAATGAGCTTTTTCAGCTATACAGTGTACACTTATGCTGAAAAACAGGAGCCTTGCCAATAAGGTATGACCCATGGGCCAGCTACCAATAAAAGTGACAGCTGTGATAAAAAGCAGCTGCAGTTTGTCAAAAGGACCGCAGACAGTATACTCCACTTGATGCCTTTTCCTAAGCTACTCATCAGCATCAGCAGTCCATCAGCCCATACACAGTAAGCAGACCGGTCTGTCTCCTTCACGTCAAACACTGAATACTGTGAGATGGACTTTAAAAGCAAAGTAGGTCTACAGTGCTAATAAAAGGTAAAACAACACAAATAAAACACACAGTCCTGCAATACCATGTGTCTCAAAGAGAGATTACAAGCGCATAGAAGTAGAGCGAGGAGGATGAGTTACACTACCTCAGAAAAGTGCTTAAAACCCTTTAGAATGTGCTGGATACATGAGTCCTGATGTAAAAGAGGAGAAACCTTCTTTGCCTGACTACCACTAAAACAAAAATCTAAAAATACAGTTTCTTGACCCTGATAAACAATATGAAGCTGAACAGAATTGCCAATGCAAAAGGACAATGTACAGCAGCAAATCTTCAGAAAAGTTACAAAACAGATGATTAATCTATGCAAAGAAGCTCTCATAAATAACACACTTTCATCCATTATGTCAATGGAAATGAATGAAAACAACCTCAGAACACCAAAAAAGGACACTCATCTTTGCGTGACATCTCCTTGTCATAAGGTCATTTTTCAGTTTTTAAATGGCCAAGAGAATAACAAAGCATAAAAATACAAAAGTAGCATAATGTTGAGACATGTGGTAACACTATGGGGTAAGTCGTCACAATGGAAACCTGCCAAAATATAACTTTTAATAGGATTTTCAGCTAAATTTAAGCAGTAAAAAACATCTCATGAACAATGTTTTGGTCAAAAGAAAAGAAAAGAAAAAGAAAGAAACTGTAGTTTCTACATGGCATAAAATTGCAGCATTGGAGGAGTATTGCTTGAAGCCAACATACAAGACTAACATATTTGTGTAATCAAAACCTTTACTCCAAACCTAAGGTATCTCCCCTAAAGCTTGATTTTGTTTCCAACAAACATAGGCTTATGTTTGATGAACTGTTTGAAAATGTTTGAAAACATACGCAATCTAACAAATGAATGAATAGCAATTTAACAAATGAATGAATAGCAAGTAAATTAGGTAATAAGGCGAGGAATGTAATCAAAGACAAACAAAACATCCGAAGAACAATGGAGAATCCACAAGTATAAATGTACAAAGCGCTGAGGGGATGTTTAAATGTGATGACACAGAGGGGTGTGGCGTCAGCATGGGCTCCATGTGTCTGGACCGTCACAAAAGCATTTCACCCCACTGCTGCGGCTGAATGTGGGTAGCTGTTTTAAGAGTGATTTAAAGACTTAAACAATGTCAGAGTATTTAAATTGGCGGGAATGGAATGGTTACAGTAATGCGGACTGAAAGAGAAATGCCTGGAAGTAATACATTCAATTAGGATTCAGTCCTCGAATCTATGCTTATTGTTGCGATTTAAACACACTGCAAATGAATTCTTCTAAAGAAGTTCCCTTCTGCTCTAAAAAAGGAAAATATTAAAAATTCCGCTATTTATAAAGTGTCCACTATTTTAAAATGAACTGATCAATGGCAAAGTTTTGAAGTTAAGCATCACATCTTCAGATAAACAATGTAGGAGTTGCCAAGTTTGGAACATAAAAAAAAAAAATAATAATAATTTTTTTTTTATGTAACTTAACCATTTTTATTTCATCCATAGCCCCTCCTCTTTCTCGTGAAAAACGAGAGCTTACACAAACCACCGAACACGAATATTTGCCTTAATGCAAATATCAGTCATCATCCGTCTTTCTGCATTTCAGAGACAAACGTTCAAGTAGTTAAACTTACCAATTACAATGCAGATACCCACAACGTTCCCATCGAGTAGTGTGCGCGTGTATTAATTCTCCTCATTAGCAACTGGTGAAGCGTGTGTATCGTGTCAGATGAGATATAAAAACTCTATGCACGTCTCTGTCCAGCACACACTGCTCATTTCCACGCACCTCTAAATCCCAATCCATTCAACACTGCATGTGAGATCGGTCTTGCCGTATTAATACATAACACATTAAAACACACAAGGATCGCGGATATTTCTGTGCACAATTCACAAAACGCCGAAATCTGAGCACACTGGATCTTACCGGTGAGTTTGTTTACCGCAGTTTCATTGCAAGCTCGCAGCCGCTCGATGCACAGTAAACTACGGTCTTGTCCTGCCTCTTTGGAGTAAATCCCTTCTCGATTTACGGAATTTACCGAGCCCAGACGATTACTAAAGGTGGGACTAGAGGAAATGCGTCATGCAGACCGGAATTCAGGGGATTGTAGTCCTGATATCCTCTACTGTGTATTAGTCAGGTTTTTTAATGGTCAATTTGTATTACATTAATATATTTGAATATATAATACCGTATTTATTCACATAAACTTCCAACCCATATAGACATTACTACTATATAATGGTAATAATTAATATGAATAATTATAACATATCACATTATAATCATAACATAATTAATAATTAATCTAAAATACATTACCCCCAAAATGTAGGGTAGGCCTATACCTGTACACGCCACAAATTGTCTTACACACAAACATTAGCTTGGACATTTATTAATAGCCAGTTTACTTCATGATAACCATAATTTTATTTGTTAAATTACAAGTATTACACATTTCCAGTGTTACAGAGAAAATGAAAATGATATGAGAAAGAGAGAGACTCTCTCTTTCCCGCTCTGTTATTCTCTGGTTTTGATGTGCAGTTGTAAATCGTGTTCCCGGTTTTAGGGGATCGAGCCTCAAGCTGGATTGAAGTCATGGATTGTGTGGTCAGGCACCTGGAATGTGTTATAGATGTGTTGACCCAACAAAGCTCAAACAGGGGTAAGCCCACCAGCATTCCACAAATTCTACTGAGAACACCGCTCCTGTCCTAAAAACTAAAATATGCAATTCCTCTCTATCACCCTCATGAAATATGTGGATTTCACAATGTATTCTGACAACAGTATTGGCATAAGCCTTGTAACCTTGTAAGCATTTCTGCTGATATTCATTGTTACAATGTACTTTGACTATCAGATCATTAAACCACTTTAGCTTATGTCTGTAAGTGCCTAAATGCTGCTCTCTATGGATTAAATTGTGGTATTACAAATCAAATACCACAATATTGGTTAACCATCTTCAAGAAACGACTAAAAACACATCTGTTCCACCTTTATTTGACCCTCTAACTCTAACACTTTCTATTCTATTTTAATTCTACTTTATCTCTATTTATCTTTTTAATTTTTAATTTATTAATTGCTTCTGTTGTCCTCATTTGTAAGTCGCTTTGGATAAAAGCGTCTGCTAAATGACTAAATGTAAATGTAAATGTATTACAGCATGGTCAGGATTTTGTTTGTTGTGTGTTTTATGTTACTATGTGTTCAAGTTGTGGCTCCTTCATACTGTTATTCTACACCATTATATGGGCAAAAAGTTTAAAATGATAACTTTTTTATCCTCTTTCCTATTACTTGTTTCGCTTCTGTTTCAGTTTTTATAACCATTTCTTACTATGTGTAAGTAAGTTGTTGTTTTTTAGCATGTGTGTTTGGCAGTGTTATTTTTTAGGATTACTGATAAACTACTGTCATTTGATTTGTATTATTTGTATTTGTTATTTATTTTAATTTTAGGTAAATTATGTCTGAAAGTTTTTAGTTTTATTTAATTTGAGTTATTTTAATACTTCAACAAACTAAATGGAAATTAAATAATATATATATTGAATTTATAAATGTGTATGTGGTTTTTTTTTGGTGTTTGGCGTAGTGTTATGTTAGAATCATTATTATACTCATACCTTTTGTTCTTTAATATTTTGAATTGTTTTTAGCTTTACTTTTTGTTTTTCATTTAAATGTTAAGTTTTGAAATTTTGTTGTATGCATTTGTCATTTTTATTTAATTTCTTTATTTTTAAAATGTGTATAGGTAGTATTTATAAAGTTTTAGCTTTTAGTTTTGGATCTGTTTTTAGTTGTTTTAATACTACAATTGATTGCTTCTGTTGTCCTCATTTGTAAGTCGCTTTGGATAAAAGCGTCTGATAAATGGCTAAATAAATAAATAACAGTATAATATAAGAATATAGGGGTATATAGGGGTATAATGTATGAAAGAATGTAATTTCTGAATAATCAATAATTCACATTTATTCTCATCTATATTAGGAATATAGAAAGTGCAGACCAGAACAGGTCTACAGCCCCTACACCACAGTATGATTACGACTTAATTCTGGTATGATTATGACTTCATAGGTGTAGTAGAAACTTAGTGTAAACTAGAAACCAATTTTTTCCCATATGGGACAATAAAGTAGGCTATATTCCATCCTATTGTGCTGTAGGAAACGAGTCCATCAACTGAGTTCACCTTTGTGCACTTGGAATATCTTTAAGATGACTTTGTTTAATATATCTTTCACAAATTGACCCAAATGAATGTCCAAACCTGTTGTAACTAGTCAGCCCTTTATTTATTGACATTGGTATTTTAGAATCAAAACTTAAAATATGTTTCTCTGAAACATATGAGTTTACTTTGTATTTTTAGTTTTTTCAAAAAGTAAAAATTAAGTATTATGTATTTTTCAAACTTAACAGTAAAAGCTCTTAAAGCAATTCACCCGTAGATGGGGCTGTTGCTCTCATCTTTCCCTTGAATAATTAAATGCCAGCTGTCATTTCCATAATAGTGAAATTATTGCTATTTGCCATTCAAAGCCCCACCCAGATTCTTTTCTTTATAATATACATGGTTAAAAACAACAACACACACAAAACAAAACAGTGGAGCAGAAGAGAACATGCACAGAAACATTACATATAAGCATGAGACAGTTTTTCATTATTAAACAGATTTCTTTCATGCCCTGCTTACAGCATCCTGCATATTACCTTTTTTATTTCTAACAATAGGAATATGTTGTAGGCTTTATACCGAGAATTAACACTATTACAGCCACATGTGAACGTGATATTTTATTTACAGAGCTCGTGTCATAAACACGACATATCACACATAAACACAGCGCTCCTGTGTTCCTCGTATTATATACCCAATGAGGGAGAGCACGTTCTTAAAAAAGCCCAACACATTTAAAGTGCAGCACATTAGAATACACAAATCACTTTGTATTTCTGAACAGATCATTTATCACAATGATTTACAGAATAGTTATTCAATTGTTCATTAATTTGATGATTAATTATTTACATCTATTATAATGGTTTGTGGCTAAATTATATTTTGTCATTGAACATCTGTGCATGCGATATGGATACTGTACCAAGTTTGGAACCCTTTTCTACAGACAACAGCAGCTTATGTCTTTCAGTATCTGATTGCAGGCTTGAGATTCTAGACAACATGTTTGGATTCAAAACATTCAGCACAAAGACAAAAAGCCACGTGTTCAAACATCACAAGATCAACTTGTAACCGGATTCCCTGGGGACCACGTGGACCAGTCTGTCTGAAGAGCTTGGAAACTTGTCCCTAAAGGAAAACCACAACCAGGGGACAAAGGGGAGAGTGTAATGGATGCATGTGGTGGGAAAATGCCATCACAATCAGGCCTATATCAAAGTATTTCCTATGGCTTCAACATATATCAGCAAATTAAAATTGTTAATAATATACATAGGCCTAGCTATTTCCAGAGAATTTACATTTAGGTAAATTGTAGAATGTGGTTATCCTAAAGCGGCAAATTAAAGTAAACAGTAATTTTATATCTTGCACGTAAATAAATAAACGAATACCCTCTAGGCGTCTCTCATTTGATAAACAAATGAACATCAGTCGTCTCAGTACACTTTCACTGTGCGATCCATGTTCTTGTATTAACTAGCCAGCCTGTTTATAATACAGTAATCGCAGCGAGCCCTGATGCTGCAGACAGTGCGAGCGGATCGCCGATTGAGTCGATGTCGCTGTATACGCCTGCTATACAGGGAGGGAAGTAACCGTATCAAATGCGTATTGTGGCATTTTAGCACGTTATCTGCGACAGGGTCGCTGTCGTTCTCGACTCACCATGGTGTTCGAGTCTTTAGTCAGTGATCTCTTGAACAGGTTCATAGGAGATTATGTGGAAAACCTGGACAAGTCGCAGCTCAAGATCGGCATATGGGGGGGTAAGCGTTTATTCGTCAAAACAGCCTGTCAACATTAGTGCAAAGAAGCGCTCGTATTCTATTCTGGTTTGTTGTCTTGCAAAACGTCCTATATCGATATGCAGTGCGAGCTAGTTGTAAATTGAATGCAGTGTCCATTAAGGTCTCTCGTGCTGGATTAGTTTCTGTTCTGTAAGACTGCCAGTCCGTCAAGTTGCTTGCCACAAGGAGTCGTTCGCAGGCGATAAAGACACATTATTTATACTGTTTACTTTGATTATTTTTACGGGTTTCCGCCTTTATTGTGTTAAAAGGATTTCAGTCATCATCATTACTCAAGCCTGTTACTTTCCGCTTACATTTATATTTTATGAGACAGAAAATGGTTCTCAACAATTGGCTGTGCAGATGAATGTACAGTCATTATTGCAAACACTGCTGTTTATTCTGTTCTGTTGAATTTTTGCAAGTAAAGCTCAAGGTGAAGTGGACCACACCTTCATAGATAATAAAAAGTTTAATCATGTCATTCATTTTCCTGAAAATTTGAAGTGCTGTACACTTACTCTTTATGTCATACTGGGAATACAGAGTGTCGCATTGTTGGAGCTTTAGGAACAGATTCAAAATGTCTTGGAAAAGTTAAATTCCAAATATATTTTTGGAAAAACTTGGGGCACTATATTACTACAGATTTATCTTGATGGCCCCTGTGACTCATATCCCCCCATTACTCCTATCAACACTAATGACACATTTTAGAGTTTAAACAGTTTGTGTAAACAGGATCATACACAATCACTGATGGGAACATGACCCTTTCATGTCCCTGTGCTTAATCATTCTATTTGTGGTAGATGTATTTTTAATGTTTGTAGGTTTATATGCAAATATGTGTTTTCCCTTATCAAATTACTGTCATTCTGCTGTGTTGATATAGTCGCTTTACAGGATGTGTCAAGGCCGGAACAACTCCGACTAGATTCTTTCAGATAAATTCCAAGGATAGTTTGAAGCCAAGTTCATTAGAATCATAAGAAACATATG